ATTCCAGTGCCCAAAACCCGAATCCCAAAGCCCAAAGCCCAGACCCACCGAATGGCAGGGCACCACCTGGGGGCTTTCATTTAGCACTGATGTCATTCTTCTTTTTTTTAACCCAACGTACCTGGTAATTTGAAATTTAGATTCAAGTACTTTTTACAAGAGAAATAAAGAGACTTTAAAATATTTCTATAAATAATTTCAAAGTTTTTGATTCTATTTTTCTACGAATTTTATTATTAGATGTTTTTTTTTTAATATTTAGAATTATTTTACAGGGCATCTCCTAGTCTAGAGCCTTGATTGTCCAGCTATTTCTTTTTTTTTTAAATTTTTTCTTTCGCACTGAAGTGCGCATTTGACAAGCCCGGTAAACAACAATTAAAATGACAACGGAGAAGATGGCAAGGCGAAAGGATTTTTGCACGTTTCGCTTTCTACTCAGGCCATCTTCCACCTCCTTTCAGCCCTTTGCCACCCATTTTCCTTTCCACGAGCTACACAAAAAAAGAGAGAAAATTCATGAAATGTAACTGATGAAAACTGACATAAGGCGACTGGGAAAACTGGGAAGGCAGGGCGAATGCTGTGCGAAATTATAGCCACAGGACATTCACACACAAAGCAGCGGAATCACAGCCAAACAAAGCCCTATCCCCTCGAAAAGGACGAGCAAATAACTTGAGGACATGCCAATGCAATTTCGAATCAATGTCCAGGAGAGCCAGCGAAGAAAAAAGGAGACAAGCCCGGAAAATGACAGGGAAAAAATCTGGTAAAAGCAACTAAAGCTGACTGATGGAAAATGCAGCCACAAAAGCAAAAGCAAGGTGATGGGGCCAAATAGATGAAATATATTCACGAAAGAACTGAGATTAAAATTTCCCTAGCCCCTATCAATTAGCTTTATGGATATATTAGGCTAAAAAGGGAGTTATGTAAGCAGTAAGTTGACTGCTTGCACTGCTTGCCTGCTTGCATCCAATTATTTGCTCATAACTTATTGATTAATGGTCTGATTTGAAGAGTTTTTTCTACATTTCTATAGGTATTAATAATCTTAAAAAAAGGTATTTGCACTTTTACAAAAAACTAAAACTACAAATAAAAAAAACAGCAAGTAACTCAGTTTCAATGACCTTGTGATACACTTTTCTAGATGACTACCTAATCATTCCATTCGACTTTGGCTAGACAAATTGTTTGGCTAATTTGCGCGGCATCTTCGTAAGCCCCGGCACATTTATCACCCGTCCATCAGAATCCGAATTAGATTCGGAGAAACTATTTCTGGTGCGGCAACAGCACACGGCGTATGAGTAATGTCTTGATTTGCCAAACGTTTTAACGGATTTAAATTTATTTATTGCGCGCCATCTCAACGCAGCGCAACACAACGCCAGCATTTAATTTTAGCCACCTCTTGAGTTTGTTTGTTTTTGTTTAAATTTAAAATTGAATTGAGAATTCCCTCTCTATTCTCCGCTCTTTATGACTCCCGAGTGCCTGTGCATACAAAGCCAACTATACCGATCTAGGAGGTGTGATAAACTGCATTCGCCTTATGATTGAGGGGTTAAGTGCGGGTCAAAGTTGTCTGCCATCTTAACTCATTAAAAATATATATGGATAGGAGGTAAATGCGCTCCTTTGTTCTCGACACCTATAAATCTAATGCGATTTATGCTCCGAGTTGGAAGTGCGAGTCTGAGTTTGGCAATTTATGGTAAAAGAATGCTCAGGATGGATGGTTTCCGGCGCGCAGAGAGAAATAATGGGATTGCATCTGTGCATTAATCACCATTTCTGGAGATGGTTTCGTAAAATTAGCGCTTTTCGGTTTTCATTTTGTAATCCTAAAGATGGCTTTATTATTTGTTGATCCATTTAATGATCCATAATTTTGGCCATCGGAAATATCGAAAAAAGCAGGCCATAAAGAATCCAAACTTCCGCCTTTGGGTTTTCCGTTTAAAAAAAATGCTCGATTAGAAACATATGCATTTCCAATTGTTTATTGCTCTTTCGACATGAAACAATAATGATATGTTACATTTTGGCATTTGAGGGCTTCCTATATTGAAGTTTAATGAAAAACATATTAAAGTAAGTAAGTATCGATTTTCATACTTAAATACTTTAATTGTCGATATTTCGAATTATGATACATTTAAATGAACGATATATTCTCTATTTTTGTCGACATAACATATCAGTCGATTCTTTTTGAAATACATCCCTAGTAGACATACCTGTTAATCTTATAAGACTTTTTAAATGTTGTTCCCTTTTCGTTTGGGAAATCATTCCATGTGTTTTTTTTTTGGGAGTGTGGGTGACTCCTAATTTGGTGAAAATGGCTTGCAAATTGCCTGCTGTCGCCGCCTCCTCATTAAAACCCCAGCTAAATCGTTTCGCAGTTAGTTAAGAGATAATATCTCGTTCCCTTTCATTCCTTTCCATTCGATTCGATTTCCATACCCAAATACCCATTTCGTTTGATTCGATTCGAATGCAATCTGCTCGCATATGTTCGTTTTTCCGAATTTTCTGTGGTTTTTTTTTTGTTTTTGCTTTTCACACCGCTCATCGGAAATATTTTCCGGCCTGGACATTTTCCGTTTCCCTTTTGCTTTCATTGTTGTTGTTTTTGTTGGTCGCTCGGTCTGTAATTGCTGCCTGTTGGTTGTTTTTGTAGCCGTTGTTTGAGGTCACATTGAACGTCGAAAAGCGGCGATGGCAACGTTAATTTCGTTTGTCCATAAACATGCTACATATGTGCATGAGCCGGGTTTTGTCCTTTGAACAGTTGAAAAATCGAAAAATGCGAAGGGGTGAGGGGTTGTTGCATTTTGCAACCCTAATAAACCGACGAAGGACGAGGACGGCGAGTCTGGCACACGTGCCGTCCTCTGATAAGAGAGCGTCTGCCCTCCATTTTCCATTTCCCATTTATCCATTTTCATTTTCCCGCCCCGAATGTTGGGTGTGACTGTGATTTATGCACTAAACAATGGTCCAAAGGTCCCGGCTGCATGTCCATCTCAACCATCTCCCCCTCGGAATGGATCACAAAAAAATCGCAATGTTATGGCACGTGATGACCACGAAGGACACTTTCATCAAGTGCCTGAAACACACACACTGAATGATGGACAAGTGTTTTTTGGTGCTCTACTATTACCAAGGATAGCATCTAATGAAAAATGGGTTACACTTTGTGTTCGATAATGATTTTTTCTGTTTTTGGTTTGATATGTGGAAAGTTTTGGAATACACATAGTTTGGAAAATATATACCATCTTAAAAAAAGAAAATAAAATTAATAATAAGCAAGTTCTAAGCCCTTTAAAAACAACAGTCTAAAAATCCTCTTAACTTATAGAGAACCCTCATAATTTTGTCAGTTCAAATTTTTCATGTAAAATATTGTAAATTGCGCAAAATCAAAATTGAAAACCCAAAAAAACCTTCCCTTCTCATTTTGTGTGTTTTATTCGCTCTTGTTGAAAATGCTTATCAAATTAATTTCGCTTAAATTCGCGCTTATTGTTCTCAGCTCAGCGAGTTTTTAGAGGGTTAATTGCGAGGGTTTATCCCGGGGACTCTGGATTCTGGATTCATGACTCAAAACTCAGTATTTGGGATATCGCCGTCGCTCTATTGTGTGTTGATTGAATGTTTGCGCTGTTGTTGTTTGCTTGTTTAGCCTGGCCAAAGGTAAAGTCTCGATTTCGATTTCATTATCGTTTTCGTGGCGAGGGTTGGTCCAAGAGTCTTGGATATACCAAATACCTCCCCCAATTTAAACGCCGCTCTACCTTAACTCTACACGTGTCCATCGAGTTGTTCAATTATGGCTAAGCCAAATCCGCAGCACAAACATTGATGCCTTCAGGTTTACCTCCTCGGATTTTGAGTTTCCTCCGGAATTCTTATCCTTCTGCCGGCAGAAAAAGAGCAACCCCTGGGCCCAAGTTAAGATGAAAACTAAACACACGCGACTGGCTTAAAAATTGAATTCTAATGGAGCTGTCGCCGCCTCCTTCTACCCATAATATCTCCATATCCATGCCAGATTACCATTTGCAACCCTGCCGCTGCTCTCCACCGATTTCTCTATATATATTTTAACTTTGTGTCCCGATATGTTTGCCCAACAGATTGGGCTGGATGGCCGAAAGCCAAAAGCCAGAGTCCTTGGGGGTTTTCGCATCGAAATTTCCCTTTTTCGGCTGGGATTGGTTTTCTGCATTTCTGGTTTTCTGATTTTCTGTGGGGGAAGTTGACTTTGCTCTAGGTAAAGCGAGCCCGGGATATTCCGCACAGCAGCCGGCAAAGGTTTAGGTAAAAGAGCCTCCGAGGCCCAGGTAAGATCCCTAGAGGCTCGAGCATTCCCTTTAAGCCCACTCAATAATATTGGCCAATAAAAGAAATCGTAATCCCATATTTCTATCCCCGGGGCATCTTGCCAATTTAAATATTTTATAAATATCGGAATTTGATGATGACATAATAATCGGAGGTACAAATATACTTGCGGCTGGTCCCAAATAATGTTTATTTGGTGAATCTCCTTTCATTACTAATAAATAAACAAATAGGCTTTATATTTCCAACCCTTTCCTAGAACTAAATTATTTGTTTCAAGCTTCCAACCTGCCCTTGATAATGAACAGTATTCTATTTAGACCTGAGTAGTTTTTAGATTAATATTTTAAAATGAGAAGGAATAATAGGTAATATATGGAAATATTTGATTTCATATTTCTTCAGATAACATACAATTTTTTTAATAAAATAAAAGAATATTTTTGAATAAACTAATTTCATAATCTCCCCAAAGTCTGTGTTTTATATATGATATATGTATGTAACTGATAATATGATATAAGTAACATAATATATAGTAATGACTTATTTATTATTAAATCATATTAATTGTAATATCTATATCATATCATATATTTTTTAATAATGATCATATATTTTTTAAGACTCACCCTTGCACTCGTTGGTCTCCTTGGCGGTGGCCCTTGCCCAGGGGCGATCGAAGTGGAAGGGCTTGCAGCGCTCGCAGTCCCTGCCGGCGGTATTGTGGCTGCACTCGCAGTTCAGCTGCCCGCTGGCGTCGGTGGAGCACTTGGAGGCGTGGCCGTTGCACTTGCACCGCCCGCCCACCGCGAAATCGGAGATGGCGTAGTGCAGTCCACTGCCGCTGCCGCTACTGCCCCCTGCGCCCTCGTGGGACAACTCGATGTTGTTGCCAGTGGGACCAGATCCGCCGTTGGCCAGTGGAACGCTGTACTTGCCCCCGGCCAGATCCACCGAGGCTCCTCCGTGGCCGGCATCCAGCGAGAGCACGGCCTGCGGATCCCCCACTCTCTGAAGGCGATGGAACACCACCCGAATGTCCGTGGCCGTCACCCAGTCCTGCATGACGGGCGACGAGTCCAGATCCTTGCCCGACGGTCTGCCCTCCAAAGTCCTGAAGGCGATCCTCGAGCCGCCCATGGGACGCGTGAGGTCCGAGCAGCGGGCCTCGTGCTCGTTGTGCCGCCCCGTCGCCTGGCGGGCTGGACGACCGAAGAGCCGGCGGCACTGGGAGCTGTAGAACTGGAAGGGCTGCCAGGTGAGGCCGTGATCGGTGCTCTTGTAGATGGCCATCGAGTCGGGACGCGGTGCGTGGGGACACAGCTGCAGGACCACGTAGACCAGCTCGAACTTCTTGCCCAGCGACAGGGTCAAGGTCACATTGTCGCCGCTCCCGAGGACGGGCTCACTGCGCCAGCAGGTCACATTGTTCGAGTTGTTGTTGTCGGTGAGGTAGCGGGCGGGAAAGCTCCGTAGGGGATCATTCGCATCGCAGGTGTGACAGGATCGCTCGTGCTCCTGGAACTCGCAGTACCGCTGTGGGTTAGCCGATGATCCCATGGATCCACAGGTGGAGCTGGCCACCACGGGCGCATCCAAGGCGGCGTTTACGAATTCCGGAACGCAGACCTTCGGCTCGCGGGCCCTGTCGTAGCACAGGTCATCCTGGGGCGGCGCCTGTTGCGGAAACATCTTCAGGTACTGATCGTTGGGAATGCCCGCGGTGCCGGGAATCCCCTTGAGGATCCCCAGGACAGCCAGGAGCCAGAGGCCACGGATCGCCGCCAAGGGAGGCATGATGTTCGTAAGTTTCACAGTCACTAGCGTTAAAAATCTTTAGTTTTTAAATGTTCCAAAATCTTTACAAAGCACTCGAAAAAAATAGTTCTGTGTTTTTAATCTCCAAATTCACTTGGGTTCACAATCTTTAGTTTTTAATTGTTCCAAAATCACAAATTTACACTTGAAAAAAATTCAGATTTTGAAATCGTTTTCCAAATTCGTTACTCAAAGGCGTTTGATCTCATCTCAAAAGTCACTGGAGTCACAGGGAAAAAAAATCACACACTTGAAATATTCGAAAATCGTCGCGTTGCGCAGGCGCGAATCGAAAACTCCGGATCTCCAAATCGCCAATCTCAAATCTCCACTCTCGAATCGCGGCGTTCGGCTCGTTCGGTTACGTCAAGTCGGCCTGCTTGTCCACAGTCGACTGTGTGTTCGTTTTCGTTCGGCTTCCCGGTTTCTCGTTTTCTCGGTTTCTCGCTTTTCCGCCTGCACGTGCGTGTGTGCGTGTGCGCGTGTTTCGTGATCGCCGCCATCAACATGTTGCCGCCTCTAATGATGCCATCGGATGCTGAGAGAGAGCGAGATGCTTAGCAACATTCTCTTGCTCTCTACCGCTACGCCGCTCTCTGCCTTTCCGCCGCTCCCTCTCTCTTTCGCGAGTTGCGCAGCTTGCCAGCAACATTGTTGCTAAGCACTCGGCGACACATTTCATTGCCGGTTTTTCGGTCGGCAAATAGCCACTGTTTTTTGTTGATTTAGCCCCACAAACACAAACGGGGCCACTCAGAATATCAAAACATTTGGCCCTCTTTCTGCACAGATCATCAGTCCTTTTTGACGCCAATCAAATATATATGTGTATACCTACAAACATCCAACACTGGGAACCAAAACTCAGGACTGGAATTCTATGGATCTGGAACCTGGAAGCTGGTAAGTTTTCCGTTTTTGCTATCTATAGCTGTAAAAAACTTTTTTGGAAAGGTAAAAACCATTTATTTCTATTTAGAATCAAAATTGAAAACAATAACCAACTACTACTGCAAATAAATCACTATCTGCAATAAAGATGTCTAAGCATGAGACCAAAAAAAAAATTCCAACCTTTTACGATAGTTAAAAAAAATAATTGTTAATAAAGTCAAGAAATTCAAAATGAAAACATTTTTCTGTAATTAAAAAAAAAAGAATTTTTTAAAGGTCAAGAAAATTAAAGTAAAAGCATTAAATTTTTTTGGAGTAAGATAATTTTTTGTTTTACTTGTAAGTATATTAACCTGATCAATTTGTTTTAATAAACAAAAAGCTTATAAAATCAAAATCAATTTTTTTTTATTCCCAATACCAAAAAACGCGAAAGGGAGATGTGTATATTCCCATTCTTCTGCATCTTGTGTTTCTGCCCTGTGTTTACCTTTCGATGGCTATCGATAATAAAGACGCCTCGAATCTCCAATCTCCAACTCGAACTCTCGTTCTCGCGTTGGCCAAGTTATTAACTTGTCGTTAATGAAAATCATCAATTTTCGAGAGGGGGCGCGTAATTACGCCGAGCCGATGGCTGATGGTCATGCCGATGACGATGGCTTCATTATATGAAGCTTTCCCATTCCCATTCGCAGTCCCCCATATCCCATATCCCACTTCCCATTCCCAATCCATATCTATATTCATCCCACAGTATTCGGTATTCCCCTGCCCACTCCAATATTTTCTGCATTTTGCCTGCACCTTTCCGATAAGCGTTTCACTTTCAGTCCCCTTGGCTTTGTTTTGGCTTTGTTTGTTTTTATTTGGAGGCGCGTATAATTAGCTTGGATGTGTGGTCGGGTGGGCGTTGGGCGTATGGGCGTGGCAGCGGTCGAAATCGTATCGGAATGGGTCTTAATTATTCGATTTTTCACGAGGGCGCTGGAATATTGGTAATGCTCGCACCTAATCCGTAATTTAAATTAGAGGTTTTACCTTTAACTTTTAATTAGCCATTTTCCAAAATTAATATAAAATTGGTAACATTTACATTTGGTAAAGAAATGGGTAGAAAGGCTAAATGACTAAAATCCATAAATATTATTAATATAAGTTCCAAGTGCTTAGTTTTCAAAAGACATCACTAACATCTCATAAATAAATAGAAATTAAGGATCCACATATTTACATTTACATATCCCAAATTATTTATATCATTGTATTTTCCTTCAGGTAAATCCCATTCGATTGTCAAGTTAAATGGAACCAGTGATTAGAAGAGTGCTTTTCCTTTACCTTTGAGCCTCTGACTAAACAAACGCAACACCTACACCTATTGAAAGACAGCTGGCCGGCTCATTTCCGCTTCCTTTGTTGATGCGGATCCACTTCCACATCCACAACCACTTCCACATCCAAAACTGCTTCTGGTCGGAGGCTTATCGGAGGCTCCTTGGCTCGCAGTTCGGAGTTCGGAGGAGTTTCGGAGGAGCATGGAAGATAGGGCACTCGGACCCCAAAAGCTGGATCAGAACTTGTGCTTTATTACCTTGGCAGTAGTAGTGGGCGTGGCAGGAACAACCACAAAGCCCACGACCACAACATGACGAGGATGTGTATGTGGATACACTGAGCGAAATTCTGAATACTCACCATGGCTTTGCTGGAAAATTTACATGTAAGTCCATAAACTTTCTTATATTTACCCTTTAAGTTTTTAAATTACACACATTTTCCAAAGCTCTTCTAAAAAATTATATGATATAATATAATATCTTCACTATTTTTCTTTTACCTACCCACTGAATATTTTTCAAAAAGCTTCCGATTTTTCTCAGTGTTTCCTTGTGTTTTTGCCCCGCTCTGTTTGTTTGTATGGGTGGGCGGCCAGACAGTGCTAAACTTTGGCTTAATATTGGCAAGTGCGTAATGAAAATTGCATTGTCGTTTTCACAGAGTTTTCACAGAGAGTGGGCGTTTTGGTGGGGTTTTTGGGGATCCAGGGTCCGGGGCCTTTTGTCATTTGTCCTCTCGAATGGGGCGCAAAGTCCAAACGGCTTTCCGTTGGTCCGTTTGTTTGTTTGTTTGCCAGGACGGCCGACCGGCCGACCAGCCGGCGGCAAGATTTTTAGATTATGACGGCTCTACAATCCTCACCAGCTGGACAATATCCAGATCCGCTCTTTCCCGGGTCACCATGCACCAGGCGAAAAGCGGGGAAGTCAAAAGAAAGTTGTATAGTATTTAAAACGGGATAGAAAAAACCGAACCTCTAAGGGCTAATTAGAAATTATCAAGGACTTTCCAAAAATTCGCCTGGGTTTCTAAATCACCTAAAATATGTCTTAAAGTATGCAACAATATATTTTCTTAGTCACGGGATTTTACAAAAATCTTCAGGGTTTTTGAAATCATCTAAAAACATGCCTAAAAATATGCAGCAATAGTTTTCTTAGTTCGAAATTCCGCCATTTTAAAATACAATGATTTTTCTTTTACTCTCATTTAAGTTTAACATTATATAAATAGTATAGAAACCCTTTTGATTTCTTTGATCTCTATATTTAATTAAAAGTACTATTTTAGCCACGCTTTTCTCCCAGTGCTCATTGTTTGCTGTACTCGTATTTATTTGTGTTAGGACACTCTTTCACTTTATTGGTGACATCAATGAATGTGAACTCCCCACCCATTCCACTCCACTCACTCATCGAGGGTTTTGTAGATTCACACGCCTGCAACCCATTTTCCCCCAACAATATCCCCACCGTTTTTCGGGGCTTTGTGGTCACTTTTTTGGCCAGTGTTTATCTTTGGGTTTCTGTTTGTCTTTTACAAAGTGTTTGGCTCTGTCTGTTGGTCTTTGATTTTATTGCTCGAGCTGCAAACATGCAAAAAATACGACCGCACAATACAATACAATACCAACAAGAACAACAAAAAGATAAGTACAAATTTAGAATCAGGTAAAAGGTGGGTGGAAAGGGGGAGCAGGCGGTGCGGCTAAAACGCACAGATAGCTGACTAGATTCCTATCAGCGTCAATAAATAAAGTTTTTAAATGGGACAAGAAAATAAATATGTGTCTCCCTGTTGTCACAGACAACCCAGGGGCAAGCTACAGTGGGGCAAAATGAGTGATAGTCGGTAAAAAAGAATCCTACAATTCATTTGTAACAATTTCTTACATTTTGTGAAATATCCAAGTGATCAATGTGAACATTATGGCATTTTTGTCATAATTTTTTTACCACCTCCATCGATCTTTGATCATCCTACATTCCACTGTTATGAGCCTCAAAAAGGAGCACTTACATCGGCTCGCATCCTTCATTCTCCATCCTCCATCCTCCATCCTCCATCCACCATCCTCATCAGCTGCTGTCTTTCCGCTTTCCGCTCATATTGAAAAAGTTTGTTTTTTTCCGAGTATCTATAGCTGTGTCTTTTCGTCTCCCGGCCTTCCTGAAAAATTCCCCCGTCTCTCCGTCTCTCCCAGACTTTTGGTCTGGCATTTTTCTCCTTTTCTTTTTCTTGTCTTTTCCAGTTTCAGTTCCCATTTTCAGTTCCCAGTGTGTCTGCGTTGTCTGTTGGCTGTCTGCTTGTTTGCGCGCTTTGTCTTTTGTCTAGTGCAATATGCGTCTTGTCTTGGCACCACCCCCTGAACCCCCTACACCACCCCTTCCTCCCCCTTCCTATCACACTTTTCCACTCCACCCGAAAAACATGAGGCTGGAAAATGCAAGCGACCAATAATTGTGGGTAATTTAACCTAAATAGACTTTCGAAAATAATATATGGGTGGTTATATTACACTGGTCAGCACAATGCAATATTTAGTTTATTCTATAACTTTTTGTATCCTTAATAATAATATTAAAATTTATTTTATTATTTATTTTAAATTTAAAAAAATCCTATCTGAGAAATGAGTTTATTGGTTTAGAATAATTATATTTTTTTAATAATAATAAAGCTTCTTATTTTTTGTTATATTAATAATAAGTCCACTAATTTTATGGACCTATAAACAAGATTAACTTATGTTTTTGCAATATTCTATTTTATTTACTCAGTAAACTAAATAATTACGTAAACTTAACTAAATAAAAGGTGCACTTTTGAGGTAAACGCATTAAGTGGGGAGTGAAAACCTACGTGGAATATAACTTTTTGCTCTGGCAACTGCAGTTCCTGCCGCCTACTTACATTGATTTTCTAATTAGCTTTGTAGGAAGTGGAAGTGGGTGTATAAAGGGTATGAGGGGTATATAGAGAGTGAGTACTACAGGAAGGAAGCATCGG